AAAAAAAAAAAAATAGCAAGTTCAGTCTGTCAGACCCTGACAGGGGGCAGGCCCTGGTAGGGGGATCCCCTGGCTCAGTCCTGATGAGCACTGAGCGTCAGCAGAGCTGGGTTTAAACCAGCTCTGCTCCTCAACACCATGGACCCGAAGCCCCGTCATGCTGAGAGTCAGTTTCCCCAATGGGACAATGTGGGCTTGGACCAGCCTATTTGGAAGCTGCCCTGCTTCCTGTGTGAGGGCCCCAGTTCCCCACACATTGTCTGCTCCCACCTTGAGCCTGAGGGTTCTGGGCGCAGTGACTCCTGGCTCTCAGAAGCCTCTGGGCAGAGGGAAAGGGAAGGGCCTGAGGACTTTGACGCCTCTTAACGTCATTCCGTTCTGATGATAGTGGCGGGGTGAACATTACATGAGCCCTGACAGCATGGCCTACCAGCCCTGCCTTCAAACCATGTCTAGGGGGCCCCTGGGTGGCTCAGTCCGCTAAGTGTCCAACTTCGGCTCAGGTCATGATCTCAGGGTTCATGAGTTCGAGTCCCACATCTGGCTCTGCGCTGACAGCTCGGAGCCTGCTTAGGATCCTCGCCTCCCTCTCTCTCTGCCCCTCTTCCACTCGCGTGCACTCTCTCTCTCAAAAATAAACATTAAAAAAAACAAAACAAAACTCATGAAACCATGTCCAGACTCTGACCCCTTCTGCATGCCTGACTGTTTCCTTTCTGGCACTCCCTCCACCCTGCCCATCTCACAGAGCAGCCAGAGTGATCCTTTACAGATTTCAATCAGACCAGATCTGTCACTGCTCAAAACAGTGGCTCCCTGTTTCCTTCAGAGCTTCGCTGGCCCGTCAGGACCTACACACTCTGGCCCAGGAAACCGACCTCGCCTCATGCCCCTGGGCGTCTTGCCCACTGGCTCCAGCCCCGCTGGCCTCTGGGTGGTTTCTTGCACATCCCAAGCTGGCTCCCACCTTCAAGCCTTTGTCTGGGTGGGTCCCTCTTCCCCTGTATGTCCATCCCTGTGGCTTGTTCCCTCACTTCCTACAGATCTGATGTTAACACAAAGGCCTTCTTGGTACAATCTGTGGTCCTTGACTAACAAGATGACTAATTAGGAGGTGAGAAACCCCCAGCCTCAGAAGTGCCAGCTCTACGGAGAGACCCCTCCTTCTGCCTGAGGAAGGCCCCCTCCGCAGGACCCAGGGGGCGCCTATCACCATCTGCAGAGGTGTTGAGAGTTATCCTCCCCCCTCTCCCCCTCTCCCCTGCCAGGCCATGATGGGAGGAGGGGAGGGAGGTCAATGTGCAGAAAGAACCCCTACCAGAAGGAAGGGGACGGGGAGGGGGGAAACAGGCTCAGTGTCACCTCTCGCCTCATAGGTCAGAGATACTGCCTTCCCAATGTCCCACCCTCACTGTGTGCCCCCCGTAACCCACTCCACTCTCCATCAGGCTTAGTCTTTTGGTTTAGTGCCAGGGGAGCAAGACCAGCGACCTGGAGTGTCCAGAAATGTAGGTTTCAGTCCAGGTCTGCCCCAGCTCCCAGTGGGGTCTTACTTTTCCCACCTGGTCAGTGGGGATATCTGGAATGGTTTTGTAATCTTCCCTGTGGAAGGCCTAAGGTTCTGCAGTGAGGTCAGGAGGGGTGACTAACATGTCTCTCCATCACCCTGATGCCCAGGAGAAGCCCAAGATGGTGGCCCCCTCCCCCTTGTTTCTGTGGGGGTACAGGGCCTGTCCCCAGCCTCCTATGGCCCCCAGAAGTGAGGACCCAGCATCACGGTAGCCCCACAGCCCAACCAGTGATTCTGCAGACCAGGCCCATGAGTTGTGTCCTCTCTCTGTCCCCTACTGCCTCTATGCCTCCCCTTGTGGGACAGCCTTCTGGGAAATACAGCTTCCAGGAGGCTGGACAAAAACTGCTCGTGCTTCACTTCTGGGCATGAGGCCAGATGCCAGGCTGGCGCCTCCTGGTGAGGGCCGCAGGCATGTGCCGCTGGGCAGGCTGGGCCCAGGGCCAGGGAGGCCTGGAGCGGGGACTGTGGGCCAACCTCTCAGCCTTCCCCTTCCTTCCTTCCTACCTCTGGAAGGACAATCTGCAGGCTTCCCTCGGAGCTGTGTCTGCATCAGGACCAAAGTCCCCCCTCACCCGGATTCCGGTTCCCCAGCTGTATCTTAAGGGCTTTGAGTTAAAAAATGGCCTTTCATGTTCCTTCTAGTTTCAGCATCTAAACTTGCTTGGGAGTTACAATGGCCACTGGAGGGCCCTCTCCTAGGTGGGGAATCAGGCTCAGGGAGACCAAAGCCCTTGTGTCTGGGCCCTCGGCTTTGCTAGCGGGCAGAGTGGGAAGTGGGATGGGGTCTGTGTCTCCACCTTGTGAGGTCTCTGCTCTGCCCTGTTAGTGTTTTCTGGACATGCTGAGCTTTCTCTGGACCACAACGTATATGCCCTCGGGCTCATGACCCAAGTAGCCAGTACTTGTTAGTAAGTACTAGCCATGGGAGTTGTGGCGTTTGGACAAGGGAAGACTCTTTCGAAGATGCCGCAAAAATCAGAAATCATAAAGAAAAGACTGATCGCTCGGATTACATTAACAATCCACACCAACTTCTATGAGAGCCTCCAATTCACCACAGTCCAGAGAAAAAACAAATAGGAGAAAATATCTGCAATATATATAAAGGGATGAATATCCCCAATACACAGAGATCTGGAAGCATCACCACAATAAAAAAGACATGAATAGAAGCTTCACAAAAGAGGAAATAGGAATATGTAATACTATATGTACACAATATGAACATTCTTACAGGAGATTCTACCCAGTCATTAAAAATGTTCCACAAAATTATGAATTAAACAAAACAAATCCGGGGCACCTGGGTGGCTCAGTTGGTTAAACGTCTCGCTTTGGTTTCAGTTCAGGTCATGATCTCATGGTTCGTGAGTTCAAATCCCAAGTCGGGCTCTGTGCTGACAGTGCGGAGCCTGCTCGGGATTCTCTCTCCCTCTCTCACTGCCCCTCCCCCGCTTGCACACACTCTCTCACACACTCTCTTTTTAAATAAGCATTAAAAAAAATAAATCAAACAAATCCATTTCCTTCTCAGGGCTCCTACGAATGCTCCTTGGATCCCCAAACCCAGTTTGGGTGGGTGGGTGGGAATGAGCTTCAGGACCAGCTGGCAGCTTAAGGCCTCTAGGTCAGGCCAGCCTGGTGCCTGGTCCTGAGTGTGTGACATTCAAGAAAGTAGCTTAAAGGGTAGAGTCAAGGGGAGGAGCCAGCTTTGGGTAGAGAACACCAGGAACCCCAGACACCAAAGTCGAGGGTAATAAAGTAGAAACCACAGTGGGGCACCTGTAGCTATTTGGTTTGAGTCTAACAGCAAGAGAGGGTGTTCCCAACTTAGCAAGTACCTGGTGCCTTTGGTCTTAGCTCATTCTGCCACCCCAGTTGGTACTTGGCACAGTCGAGGCCATAGGCTCAGCCTTGCCAGTTAGCAGGAGACAAGGGAGGCCTCATATTGAACAGTCTGCATTTCACCACTCAGAGATTTTAGTCCTCTCCTGGCAAGGTCTTGCTGTTCTGTCACAGATATTTATTAAGCACCTACTATGTGTCAGGCACTGTTCTGAATTCTGGGGATACAGCAGTGATCAAAACCAACAAGAAGCCCTTCTTTCTAGGAGTTGGAGCATCTGCGGCCTGGGGCAGGGGTCTGGGCCAGGGCTGGAAGGGTGGAGAATGGTGGAGCATTGGCAGTCCCAGGGAAGCAGTGTGGGAATCTCCCAGAAGATCCTGGAGGGGGATGGTTGAGGCATCTCAGTAGGGTCTCTGCGCCTTTGTGACAACACAGCAAAAACTCCTTTCCAGGCTATGTGGGGGCAGGGGTACTATACCCATTCAAGCCACATTTTTCTCTGGGTCATGGGGATACAAGACAGAAACAACCAGGTAAGGGTACCAGGAGCTGATAACACCTGCAAACACACCGAATTCAGATCCCACGTGGCCCCAGAGTACAGTATGCCTACCTTGGAAGAACACCGAGAGACCACCTCACTCTCCATTTCACGGCTGTGAAAACTGGGACCCAGATAAGGGAAGCTTTTGTCATGATTTAGGAGCAAATAAAACAAGGGACTTTGAAGGAGAGATGAGCTCATACAGATGAATGACCCCTGCCCCTAGCCCTCACCTTTTTCTTTTTCCGTCCCATCCTCTTGGGGGCAGGAGTGTTTGGCCTTGTTTAACAATCTTGGGGACCAGTACCTGATATTGGTGGCTGACCAGGCACTGGCCCTGCCCAGCTGGCCTGGGCACCGTGGAGTCTTGGGGCTTGGCAAACAGTATAGAGCGTCAGTGGTGTCTCGGGTTGGGGGGGCATACGCTGGCTCTGGGAGCTAGATGGGGGGGAAACAGTGGGGGGTTGGAGATGGCAAGGTGGGGGGCAGCCTGGAACTTTCTCAGAAGTGAGACATTCTTGGAGTGGAGGTGTCCTCAGGGCTCTGGGCTGTGACCAGCTGGGTAGGGGTCAGCAACGGAAACAATCGGTTCTTTGTACCCCCAGGAAGGTAAAGACAGGGGTGGGTGGCCCTTTCTCTGCCAAGACCTGGAAAAGCTGTGAGCTTGTCCACCCAGCTGGGTCACCTGGGCAACACTGTGTGACGTCATAGGGCAGAGCAGAAGCCACATGGGTATAATCCAGGTATAGTGGGGCGGGGGAGCAGAAGCCCTTCTCCCTATTTTTGGAGGTGGGTCCTGCCTGCTCTCTGGCATCCAGTCCTCACCCTCCCTGCTTTTGAGACCCCAAACAGTCTATCAACCCGATTCACCAATGGCTCTGTATGCCCAGCCCCACTGTGGAGACCCAGATGCTACCCGCAGGAAGTTGCAACTTGATTGGTAAAAACAGTTATTTCTGTTAATGAATGTACAGCCATCCTGCCTCTTTGGGTGCCTGTGGTCTTTCGTTTGTTTCATAATAATAAACATGGGGCGCCTGGGTGGCTCAGTCGATTGAGCGTCCGACTTCGGCTCGGGTCATGATCTCGCGTTTCATGAGTTCAAGCCCTGCATCGGGCTCTGTGCTGACAGCTCAGAGCCTGGAGCCTGTTTCAGATTCTGTGTCTCCCTCTCTCTCTGCCCCTCCCCTGCTTGTGCTCTCTCTCTGTCTCTCAAAAAATGAATAAATGTTAAAAAAAAAAATTTTTTTAATAAAAAAATAAAAAATAATAATAAACACAAAGTTCAAGAAAATGGTTCCTTCTTGGCGGCTGGGCCGGAAGGTGACAGAGAGAATGGGGAATAAGTAGATATGTTATTGTAACGTCTCTTCGATTGGGCGGTCAGCTAATGGGTGTTCATTATATTGTTGCAAATAAACTATAAATAGCTAACGACCGCCGACAAATCCAATTCTGAGCTCCACAAGAAATTATTACAAAGGTAACAATTCTTTTTATTGAGCACTTACCCTGTGCCAGACGCGGTTCGAAGTCCTTTTCCGGGCAGTGAGATGGCAGAATGAGGAGTGACTGGCCCTTGGCCTGGGGTGAGGTCTGCTCCCCGGGGAGGCTAGATGGGAACCGGGCCCCGAAACATGGTCAGAACCCTGGTCCGGCAAAGGTGAGATCTGGGGTACTGGGTGGGGTTGAGAGGTGCTGGAAAACTCCTGCGGCCTGCCTCTTTCTTCTGCCAGCTGTTTTAGAGCCCATATTGAGGGTTCTTCCCATTTTCCTGGGTCTGGGGACCAAAGCAGGCCCATCCTGGCAACAAGAGGCAGGAGCTTATGGCTTTCTGGAGGCCTCCTCCTTACCCCTCCACCCCTAGTCTAGAGAGAGGCAGGAAGGATGCAGCTGTCCCCAATTTAGAGACAAAAACCGAGGCCTCAAAAACTGAGGCCTCACCTACAATCAGAATTGGAAAGACCAGCCAAGGTCACCCAGATGGCCGGAGATGGAAGCTGGGAGTCCCACGGCCAGTTTTCTCCCTCCCAGGTCTGCTGAAGGTGGGGCCCCTGCCTCCTGGGCCCATCTCATCCCCACCAGGCAGGCGCACGGGTGGAAAGGGTCTCAGGGATGGTTCCCCAGCCACCTTACTGTGCCTCCTCCTTCCTGTTAGTCTCCGAGGCTGCAGCAGCAGACAGGGGAGGGGGGACCAGTGCTGCCTCAGTGCCTACGTGAGCCATTCACGGCCCAGTTCAGCCTTCTGCAGCAGGGCTTGAGAGAGGCCAGCAGGACACTTTGGGAGCAAAGTTTAAGGAAACCAGTGAGCACTGGTTCTCAGGGCTTGAGAGTGTTCCTGCCATCACATCTCCTCAAATTTTTACCCCAGTCCCTTCCCTGCTTCACTGTGGCCCCTCACCCCCCCCTGCATGTGGGCTCTGGGCTCTCACCCAGCTGCCCTACCAGCCATCTGAGCTTTGTACCCCTGGAGCCCTAGCCTTTGGCCTTCCTGCCTGGGAAGAAGATAAATGCACTGGTTCCAGGCGGTCTGGCTCCGGAGTGCTAGCGAGCCCTGCACACTCAGCAGCCACCAGAAGGGCCTTCCTACCACCTCATTTGTGGGCTGGCCGGCTCCCTGGGCCAAGGACCCCTGTGACACTCTTGTGCCACGCTAGCCCTACCCCCAGAACTGCTTCCTCCTGGCCAATGAGAATGCCATCAGCCTGGGACTGCATGTGGCTTTCCTACTTAACAACACCATGAACCTCACCTTTCCCTCTGCCTCCCCAGCTCCTTCTCTTGCCTCATTGCCCATCCCTGGTAAGGGGTACTCTGCCTCCCCCAGCCAAGGGAAATGAGCCTGCTCCCCAAATGCCTAGAGGCCAGCCCCAAGCTTTGATGACTCAGATTCCAGTGTGAGCAGAAGCAGGTAATGAGTGATCTCACAGCTAATAGGTAACCCTCCCCACCTCCCTCCAGGAGAGAGAACTTGGACCTGCCCTGAAGCTGGGCCAGGGGTTAAACACAGCCATTTAGGGAGCCTCCAGCTATGGAGGGCAAGCCACTGGACTGGATCTGAGGCTGGCTCTTGGGGAAGGAAAGGTCCTGCTTCCTCCTATGGCTTTGCACTGGGCTTACTGTGCAGCAGGAAGAGTCTGTGCAGACACGTGATTCACAGCTGTCCATACTTCCTCATGCTGTGTCCCAGGGCCCAGCTCCAATTGTCCCTTTAGGCCTAGATATCCCTGCATCCAGTCCAGGGAAGGGTGTCTCCCAGGGCCCGCAAACTTGGCCTTCCTTTCCCCTTAGTCCTGTCCCACACCCCTTGACATCCTCCATATTCCTCCCACCCTCCACTCTCCACCCCCATCACTTTCTCTGTATTTCGTCTGGTCCACTGCACTGGGCTTCTGGGAAAGACAAAGGATGGAGGGTGTGGGAAACTTAGCGAAGCTTATAGCTGTGTGATCTTGGTTCAGAATAGTGACCCTCTCTGAGCTTTGGTGTCCTTCCTTTTTTAATTTTTTTTTTTACATTTATTCATTTTTGAGAGACAGAGAGAGACAGAGCACAGGCAGGAGAGGGGCAGAGAGAGAGGGAGACACAGAATCTGAAGTAGGCTCCCGGCTCCGAGGTTTCAGCACAGAGCCCGACGCGGGGCTCGAACTCACAAAACCGCAAGATCATGACCTGAGCCAAAGTCGGACGCTTAACTGACTGAGCCACCCAGGTGCCCCTGGTGTCCCTTTTTATACAGAGGGGAAATCAGGGCTGCTCTGAGGATTGAATGAGGCAATGGAGGTACTGCTCTTAGCACTGATACTCAGTTGAGTGCTCCAAAAATGCTTGTTCTTTTCCTTGCTGAACAAACTGGGACCTGGCAGGTTCTCCCCAGCAGAAATGGGCCAGAGAAGCAAAAAATGTCTGTAGGGTGAAATACGGACACCTCCACCCAGTGCTCAAACCTTCACATGCCCTCCCCCGCCACCAGATATTCTAGCCCCGGTCTCCCTTTTCCCCAGATCCACTCTGTGCCCAGCTTCTGGACCCCTCCGCACAGCCACACCTTTCTGGCAGACCCCTTGCCAGAAAAGTCTCCTGCTTTCCTACCTAAGTTCAATTTGTCCTTACGGTCTGGCTCAAGACAGTTCATCGAGGAAGCATTCCTGACTCCCTTCATCCCCTGCTCTGAACAGTCCTCTTTGTCCATGGTGACACCTGCCTGTGTCTGTGCTGCTGAGTTCACCCCCAACAGGTGATAAACCAGAGGCAGGGGTGTGGCACCTGGCCAAGTCCCTGCCCCTCCCCCAGAATTTGACAGGTGTCAACTGAGGCAGTTCTCTTACAGAGTCTCTGTTCTCCAAACACCACATCACGTCCCCGCAGCCGGAGTGGAATACATAGCAGGTGTTCATCTGTTGGCTGTTGAGTGGCCGACTTCAGAAGGGTCACCTCCTATAATTATGGTGGTGAATCCGCAGCCTGCCTGGCCTTAACCTTGGCTCGGCCAGGCCCCGCAGCAAGCATCTGGGCAAGTCCTCTGGCCTGTCAGGGCGGCAATTTCTCCTCTGTAAAGCAGCGAGGATAGCCTACCTGGCAGGGGCCTAGTGAGGAGCAGGTGAGAGAACAGAGGCCCGGCACATGGCGGGCGGCACTGAACCGCACTTCCTCCACGTGCACACCAGCGTGTGCCCACCTGAACCCCCGTGGCCCCCGCTTTGCAACAGGGGACTTGGGGTGATTGTAACAGGCGCGCTGTTCTCGTTGGCTCAGCAGGCACATTTATTGACCGCCTTGTTGAAGGAGCCTTCTCAGCATTCGGTAACCAGAGTTCTCACTGGGGGCGGCCCAGGGCCTATCTTCACGTCGTGAATCACTTTGCTAAAGATGCAACGTGGCTTTGGGGCATTTTTCTTTTGAAAAATCAATAACTCATTAACAAAGAACTAAATAAAGGGGTAAGCAATGGAAGCCACCTGCCATTCCCTTTCCTCAGGTGGGGACGCAGAAGCCAGACCCACCGAAGTGGAGGAGGGGGTCCACTCGGGGTCCACTCGGGCTGGGGGTGCCATAGGCTGAACCCTCGCCCTGACTCTTCCAACCCCACAAATGTGACTAGGTCCCTCCTCTCTTTCAGTAAACACTTCAGGAGGGCCCCACTGCTCTCAGGAGAGATTGGAGTTTTCTCAGGAGACCCCGGAAGGCCTCCCAGTCTACTCACCCCAGTCTCTCCAGCCTCGTGGAAACCGATCCCTGCCTCACACCCACGCCCCAGCCACACTACACGCCTGTGGCCCCCTGAAACGGGCCCTGATCTCTCCAGCTTCCCGACCTTCACATTCACTGCTCCATCTGCCTGGACTGTTGTCGTCCCTCTGCCAGCCTGAATCATTCATGATGCGTCCTCAAGACACAAATGGAACAACCTCTAGCAAATCTGCCCTGAAACCTTCTCCCACTGCCCCCATCCCCACCCAGGGGTATCAGATCCACAGCCCCCAGGCCTCTCTGCGCCCAGGTACATGACCCACTATTACTTTCTGGGAGAGGGACTGTCTCCTCTGAGGACAGGGACTGTGCCTGGCGGTCCCATCCTCAGGGGCCAGGCTATTGCCTGGCACAAAGTTGGTGCCAGGTGGGTGCTCACTGAATGAGTGAGGGATGACATTAACATCAGATGTCTTCCTCCTCCCTGTAGTTCCCCAGAAGCCCCCACTTCAGCCTAGGATAATGGTGACTGCCCCCCAGATAATCCTCCTTCCTCCAGGGTCCAAGCCCTCAGTGGCCTTCTCTCCCCTTCTAGGGCACAAATAGCTGGTGGGTGAACCTCATAGTAAAATCAAACACTCAACAAGCACTTGCTATGTGGCAGGCCTTTCTATACGTTTTACAGACACGAACTCAGTTGTCACAAATAGGCGTGAGATAGGTACTATTCTAGTCCCCATTTCACAGATGAGAAAACAGAGGCAGAGCCTGGAGCAGAAGGGCCAAGCTTCAGACCCAGGCCACATGGCCGCAGAGACTGTACTTGGAATCACAGCCCTTGCCTTTACTGAGGGGCTTGTGGGGAGTCTGGGGTGGGGGAGACAGCCCAGAGTAC